CAAATAAGGTGGGTCTTTGCGGGTTAGTTCCATCGAACGACGTGTTTTATTTGTTGTTTCGAAAGAGGTGGTCATTCGGACCATGAACTTTTCAAATTTACCCACTCTAATTGGAAGCAGAAACTTCCAATAAAGGGCTATTTTTAGATTGCATCCACTGGTGTTTGGTGCCACCTACTCTTCCAAAGACTCATTTATTCGAATCAGTACGAAGCTGCTTTGGTGGATTCTGCAATATACAATGCAATCATAGAGCAAGTGCTGCTCAAGAACTTGGATGTGAGCTTTTACTAATGCGTCATTTTGAAGAAAGCCTACCTTCCTTTGATTTGAATTGATTGTGCCTCTAGATTAGGGTAGGTGGTATCGTGATTTTCCTTACAGACTGACCATTGTGCGAAGTACCAATTGTTGAAATTGATCGGACAAATTGGCTATATTTGGGGTCAGCCTCATTGCCTATCATTGATGAACGAATATGATATTGAGGTAACCCTTTTTGGGAATTGGTTTCTGGATTTTTCAGACATTTCTCCTTGTTTACGCAATAGTTTACATTCTGATTCGCGGTGCTACCTGACCTATCGAGGACCTCAATTTAGTATTTCAAACGAGCTGGACACAAAGACTTGGACTACTTCATTGGAGAATATAATAAGTTGCATGAGAGGTTGATGCCCAAAGCCCCCGAAAGCATGGAAACTGATCATGAGCAGGTGAGTAGCACTGTAAAATGTACAGGTCAGCTAGCCAATATTTGTGTTTATGAAAATGAGTTGAAGTAACTTTTTTTCGCGTCTAAGGTCCCATCAGCGAAGCCAATGCCTGTAGTTGGATCAGCACAGACTCCTCCTCCACCTGCAGCTGGACATTATAATCCTTTTCATGGTACGGTCCCTCATCATACGATCTAAATCGCACGTCGTTACGTGGGAACCACGCAGTGGCTTCTACTTTTATAATCTTCACTGCATTTGCGATACTCATTTCATCTAACCTTGTGAACAAGTGTATTTTCCAACTTACAGTATTTGATGTCCAACATTGTAATCCAACAATACCACTCGAATTGTAAAGTTGCTGTATTAAGGTCTAACTTATCGGGTTGATAATCCTCTTTTTCTCATTGAGAACGATGTTTTCCAAATTGACAAGAAACTTCTATGAGCCCAACATTCCTTTTTTTGTTACTTTTGTTGTTCGGGATATGTTTTTTCGATAAAAAAGGTTTCGATCACATATTTGGTCCTTTCGCTTTATGGGCAGCAACCAGTCACCTCCATTTGCTATATAACCGATAAATGTAACCTAGTCCAGAGATCAAGTGTTATGAAGATTTTAGATTTTGTGCGGTCAAAATAGTGAATGTCGAATTCAAATTTGGAGCCGCTCCCGTTCAGAAGAGCATTCGGAGGACCAGGCACGAGCAGTACGAATTCAACTAGTCGCACTTTAGCTGAATTAGCAGCATCCGTAGCTGCTCCTGCAGATGAGGATGCTTTCGTAGGTAAGGGCCTACCGAAACCATTCATTTAACAGTTTCCCATTTTCGATTCCATATGCCACGTAAGGAGTTATCATGTATCAGGCCATAGTACAATACTTAACACTTAGCGATGATCTAGGGTACAGATTATTACTAAATTGAGCATTCGTTGTGGTTTATTGCGTGCCCACAAGGAGATCTTTGATCTCTTTTGACTTCCAATTGGAACTGGTCAAATTTTGCTGCTGAACTTCCTCTCTACTGATAAATACTGAAAACTCGCAATTCATGAACACCTATCTTACTGCATAATCTTATTCTAGTAATTGTCATTGCAAAATATAGAACTCTACTCAATTCTCCGGTCACTCTTAAGTTTTCCAGATGTGTCAGGACTTGCCAAGGTGAGGCAGATTGTAACGGGTGCATGCCGCAAATGTGGCTATCCTGGCCACCTCCCATTCCAGGTAACTTTCATTATTACTCTTTACAGCCATTCTTTACTTCAACCATGGACCTACGGGATTTTAGTGTCGAAATTATATTCAACTGAAACCTGGTCAGTCTACTGTGATTGATGTCAGCTCAACCAGTAGTGAAAGCGAAACAGAAACTCCTTTAGGTAAGTTGTTTTATCCGAACTCATGGTTTCCGTAATCTTAAGTTCCTGACTTTATAATATGTTTTAGTGAAGAAAGTAAAGAAAAAACATAAAAAGAAGGAAGCCAAGAAAAAGAGTAAGAAGAAACATAAACATAGAAAACACAGCACTAGGTGAGATCATATCACAATGACAAATATCAATAAAATTGCTCTGAATAAACCTCTTTACAGCAGTTCTGACTCTGAAGATGAACGTCATAGCAAAAAGAGGAAATCTAAAAAGAAGAGAAAGCACTCGACTAGTTCATCAGATGATGAGAAGGTCAAGAAGAAGAAAAAACGATGAGCCTTTGATTCCCACGTATGAACATTCCCAGAACGTTTATTCTCTTCACAGTAATGTTTACTCGTCTTTCTCTTCTGACATTCTGGCCTTGCATTGCTGTTCCGCTAAAATTCATTGGTATTTCCCATTCACTCAATTGTTGCAAATGATCTTATGTTTCACTACAGCACCAACCTTCGCCATATATCTCAGGATAATTTGTTGAAAGCATGGTCTTGAAAAGTCGTATTTTCCTGAATATGAACTCCAAGTCCGATTTCATCTAAAACATACTTGTACTTCTTGGCTGACTATAGTTAGTCTGTCGCATTCTACTAATGTTGCTAAAGCGTAGTTTTTGATTAACTCTCACTAGAGAGTTGAACGGTGTCAAATGGGAAGGGTTCAGCTCCGCCCAAACCAGTTCTGATTGTTATTACACTATGATCGTTGTTGTGACCAGTGTTTTCTAGTGCATTGAATTATTCACATTAAGTCATGAAATGATAAATTTGAGCCACTACGTAAACTACACCGACTAATGCTGACAGGATTCCGAGGAATAACTGATTTGTCTGCAGCGATGGGTGGAACACAGAAACGAATGTTCAGTCCGGCATCGGCTCTTACAGTAATCCACAGTAATCCGGCACGTGTTAATACGCAAATTTTCACACGTCACATATACGACGCGTCGGAAAGGGACCCAGAACTGAATGGAAGCGGCAAACCGCGCGGCGATATTCGTGGCGACTTGAACGACTTTAGCGCCTACCATTGGGGCTCAAACTTGGAGTAGATTGGTAGGATCAGCTGACCATACTAATCGTCTTCACTCCAAGTTTGCGTCCCAATGATAGGTGCCAAAGTCGTCCTGAACGCCCCGAATTTCGCCACGCCATTTGCCGCGTCCATTCAGTTCTGGGTGAATGTTCCGTCTCCCTCGAAAAGGGGCTTTAGGCAAGGACACGGGAGTGGGTGGTGAGTAAGCCAGGCGGCTACTGTAAGAGCCGAGTGCCGCACTGGATTTTCGTTTATGTGGGTGGAACCGTAATTTTCAGACTTGTCTTTTGAAGTTTAACGCTACGAACTGACTTCTCGTCAAACCCACCCTCCCCAGAAAACGTAATCACGTAAACTTGGCGAACGCCTCCAACCTCACTTGTCATGTTGATGACGTCCTTTTCGTAACTAGGGGACAAAACTATAAAATGGATCGAATGCGTTAAGGAACCGAAACTTTTCCCAAAGATAGCATTTGCACTCACTTGTCATCATTGAAAAAAAGCCAACAGTTATACCAAATGCGTACTTTTTTCAGAAAAAAAGAGGAGTTTAACACAGCCTGGCATCTTAACAGAATGATGTGGATTTATGAATGGGTCAGGGTTACTGTAAAAACAAGCTAATGAAACTAAGATGTAGCATTTTTTTAATTCATCAAAATATATACAATTTGAGAATAGAAAGAAATCTACCTGCATAATGGTTTCTTTGTGGGCACCTGCATCCTTTTTTGCTTTTTCAAGGCGCCGTTCGCTCAAATGTGTACAGTTTGACAACATTTCGTTCGTCTTTTCAAACCGTCGCAAACTAAATCAGTGACCTTTAACTGTTTACCTGTGGCTTTCATAAGCCTTCCTGTAATGATGATAGGCAATTTTGCGTTTATAGTTGAAGTCTACATGATGAGTTATTGTTCTCGATGAAGAATGAATTGAGCTGGTGCAGGATTTTTGCCGAACCCTCTCTGGTACTAAGAATTAATCAGCTCTAGTCGAAAGCCCGAAGCAAGGCCTCCCTATTCGCGTAGAGTTAGGCGAAATCTCACAGACAACGTATTTCCTTTTGCGGCATCCCTATTCGTATTCACAAAGCTCTAACCGGTCCCATGCATACGATACTTTAAAAAGGACCTTCGGCTAGAATCATTCTCAGAGTAACTGGGAGCACATTCAAGCCAGGACCTACAGGCTTATCACGGTGCAATACATTACTGCATTGTAGAGTAGTCGCTTTTGATCAATAAAGTGGTGACGAAAGAAGCGCTTACCTTTGCCGTTGGACATCAATGATATTATTTACAGTTTGATGATCAACTTGTGAGGCTATGGCATCAATCAGATGATTCTGTCCACTGTCGAATTCTAGAGAGCTGCTACGCCGTGGCATACCTCTGATAGAGTGCATCCTTCTGAAAGCTCAGAAAAANATAGAGATGTCAGCTCCACGTGTTTTCAAAGAAAAGAAACCACTCGTTACTTGTAACCATATTCAGCTGAGAAAACATTCCCATCCAGACTGAGATCGGGACAAGTGAAGTTGTAGGCTGTGGCTAATATGGTGTGCCTTACAAAAACAGAAACACTTACTGGGCCGTTGGGTATTTATATAAGGTTAATGGTATGAAGTTTTCAACAAGTATCAGCTTCAATGAAGCCCCAGCCCTTGCAAAAGGTGAACAGCCGAACACCTTACTCCTTCCTACTCGAGTAAGTAATGAATGGGAGTTCCGGATCGAAGGTGTTTGGAAAGAAAGCTGAGTGGTCAGAAATCAACAGAGACAGGTCAAGAAAAGAACAGGATGGTATTACATTGTGTTGTGGAACACCAATTAGGCTTTTCTTCAGGTTTTTGGCTGTTCTTTCAGCAATAATTGAGAGTTTTGAAGCTCTATATTAAGTAGATAAACAAATGAACATCATGGAATGTGCACTACCACATTCTGCATATCAGCCTGAATTTTTGCCTACTTATTCCATTTAACCTATCGGGCACTCTGAGAGAGTAAACACTTTAGCAATGATGCTGTTTGGGAGGTTACAAAACAATTACAGCACGAAAGCCTGTTAGTAGTTTCCAAACAGCTGAAGGACTGGACGAAGGTGCAATTCTTGAGGTAAATGGGCATCAACGAAGGCTATTCATGCCCGAATGGCTTAAAGCAATTGCTAAGCTAATCCAGCTGATCCATTCGTTTTATCTTCTTGAGGATAAAATATTTACAAAGTCAATAATAGTAAACAAGATTGGAATTTAAGTCAACAGAGTACACTGGATGGGAGGGAGTGGAATGTAAGTGTGCTCATTCGTCTGTTGTCTTACCACCTTGCAGAGACGCAGAGGAAAAAGTTTTAGTTGGTTGTCCAAATTGCAGCCCCCCAAGTGGAAGCGAACCGGACCGCATCGAAAAGAGCTCTTCGGGGAGAATTTGTCTCAATTTCACAGAGATTGTTGTCTTTTTGATAAATTTGTAATGGCTGGAGAAAATCAGTCTCACCTCTCAGCCGTGTCGTTCAATATCATTGATATACTTTTAATAAACTTGTAAAGAACAACAGAAAATTGTCCGGGATCCCCTTGGCGCTGGAACTGACAATTAGAAAAAATCAATCAAACACTTTTCCGGATTTCGCCATATTCTGCTTATAATCGGACGGCTATTTTGGCCAGCTTCGGCGGCACATCTTTCCTGCAGTTATTCCTTTACTTGTTCAGAACGTTTAATATTTATTTATTTATTTATTTATTTATTTATCACGCTCATAAAAGTGCGCCCGGATGTGGCAGAAGAAAAACAGATCAATAACTGGCATTCCTAAACATGATACAGATCGTCTAACAAATCTGAACAGGAATTAACGAGTAATGGATGAAAATGAGAGCAGAGCCCTGCATTAAATGTTTATTCTTTCGGGCTTATTGATTGGATGGAAGCGGACATTTGAGTGAAATATGGAAGGGCACAAACGATGGTTGAATCGATGCTCTTTATCTCAAATCCTTTTTCGTTTCGATGCTCGTGTTGTCCTCGTCATAGTTATGCTTAAGAAAGGCATATGATTGACTAAGAATTGTTCTTTTAGTTGTTGTATGAGCAAAAGGAACTGCAGAGAAAGTGAGCCAGTGGAAGCCTATTGTTTCCTTGTTGCTGCTAACTTCACTGAGCAAGGTAATTTAACTAAGACTCATTCCTGATTTATAGTTTTATTTATTGGTTTGGTAAGTTCGTATACTGAGTAGTACTTAGTCAAGTTACATCTTAAATTGCAGTCCCCTTACTCTCGTACAGGCCCACAAAAAAGGCTGTTTGCTCTCACGACATAAATACCTTCTGGTTAACTTGGCAGCAGTTGCACCAATGATAGATTACTATGTAGTGGTGCTGCGAATTCCCTCTGAAGCTGCACCGATGAAGTTGACGCCGAGCATGTGCAAGGAGAAGGAGGCGATCTGCTTCTGCGACGACAGTGGTGATGAAACTGGATGATGCCATCGTCGCATGGTGA